AAGCTTGGATGGAGCGCTTAGAGGAGCGGGAGGTCCGCGGGCCCATGGGCGACGGATTATCTCTCGCTGAACCCTCAGATCTACCCGGGTGCCCGCTGCAGAGCAGGAGACAACTGGGGTGGTTCGCCCTTTTGCAAAGGCTAGCCGCGATCTTTACAGCGCAACAGTCATGGCATCGCAATGACGACATGAACTGCCCGCGAGCAGCGCATTAACATGCTGGACCCCCCAGGCATGCAACGCAGTGCCTGTGCCCATCATCCGAGGACAGGAAACCATCGCATCCAGAAACGCACAGTCGGAGCGCCATCCTGAAAAGGACTTGCTGCAAGACTGTGTTGCTCTTTTTGAACGCCAGGCAAGGAAGAAACCCAGCTGGACCATCTTGCTTGTACACACTCTGGACCGGGAGAATGCTCTCGTTCGGAATCGCTGGATCACAGCAGGAGGAACCCTCATTGACTCGATTAGAAAGTATCTGAAGCAAAAAAATATTGAATGCTTGCTCCACCTGTGCTTATATGCAGAGTTAATTGGCAATGAAGCACACCTGTGCAAGCTTACGCTGCCAATTCATTGCATTCATTGGCCCGTTCAATACTCTTTCAGACAAGCGGCTTCTGAACCGAATCCTTCCCATACCTGGATTTTCAAAATCAAATCCACTGTATAGCACTGAAGTTCCCCAACCGAAGGGGAACTCCAATGCTATTAGTGGATTTGGACTATAAATCCAAGAATGGGAGAAAGTATGGAAAAACACCATAATGACTGCACCTTTCCTACGCCTCCGATGAGAGGATAGCCAAGCAAGCGTAAGCGCTCCTGCATCAAGAGAGGCGCGGTCTTCCAACGTGGTCCCTGGCCCTTACTTATCCCACTTCAACAGAAGTTTTACGGATTTAGATATTTTTTTGGGAAGTCCCAAGCGTCTAGATAACTCTAGGAATAATACGACAGTACGTTGGGAAGCGTGCAGGCCTGATAGGGAGGATAGGGAGATATGTTGGCAAAAAATACATATGGACTAGCCCTGAAAGGGGGAGTATGCATGTAATAGGATGGTTAGCGGAGAGGGAAGACACGGGTCCGCCCGTGAGGGGTAACTGCACCGAGGCTGAATAAGCATATAGGATCGCCCAGTGGCGATCACGCATAGCAGGCACCGATACCCAAAACGCGGGCTGACCAGTGGGCAGACCTACAACGTAGTGGGCCAGCAAGTGACTCCTCCGCTGAGTTAGTTCTGGGGGCCTCAGAGGAATCTGCAGGGCTCACCTGACAAGGGAACTTACTGACAGATAAAAAGGAAAAAATACCTCCGTGTTAGGGAGAATGCCGCAGCAAGCGTGTTTCAACACCCCACCGAATTGTTTCCTCAATCACCAAGGGTTACCTAATACCCCAGAGGAAACCGGCTCCACTCGCAGATAGTAAAACTTTGCAAATGTATTAGGTGTCGCCCAGCCCGCAGCTCTACAGATGTCTTTTAGAAAGGCGCCGCGTGCATGCGGCCAAGAGGATGCGAAGCTCCGAGTGGAGTGCGCACGCACTCTCGGGGAACACGGCTCACCTTGGCTTTGATAAGCGAGAGAGATGGCATGCACTAACCAGTGGGCCAACTCTGTTTCGACACGCCACTTCCCTGCTGCCAACTGCATAACAGACGAAGAGCTGCTCAGATGATCTAAGCTCTGAGTGCGGTCCAGATAAATACGCAAAGCGCGAACTGGATAAGTAAGGCTGGGTCTGCCTCCTCCGGGGGCAGCGCTTGCAGGCTCACTACCTGGTATTAAAACGGAGTGGTAGGAACCTTGGCACATATCCCAGGCGGGGTCTCAGGATGTGAGAGTAAGCCAGCCCAAATTACAGGCACGAGTCACTGACCGAAAAATGCCTCCAGGTCCCCGACCCTCTAATCGATATCAACGCGACCAGCAGAGCTGTCTTCAGCGACAGAAATCTTAAAGATACTGAGTCGAGGATCGAAGGGATCTGGCGCAGGCTAGTGTTAATGAGGGCGAGATCCTAAGAGGGCATGAGAGGGGGGCGGGTGAGATTAATTCACCTAGTGCCTCTGAGGAACTGGATGATGAGGTTATGCGTTCAGTCGGTGCTGCCAGCCACCGCGTCATGAGAGCGGAAATGGCAGCCACGTAACCTTGAGTGTGGAGGGCGACAGCCTGCTCTAGCTTCTCTTGGCATAAGAAGCACAACGCTGATCTGGTAAATTTCGGGGGTCTTCTCAGTGAGAGACGCACCATTCAGTGAATAGACTTCACTTCAGGGCATAGGCACGCTCGAGGAGGGGGCTCTAGCCCGAGTGACGGTATTAACCACCGTAATCGGTAGGTTACCTAATTCTTCCTCGCGTCTAAGGACCACCCGTGGAGGTTTGTGGCGAGAGCAAATACCCCCCATGCAACTGGGTTCCTTTCCACAGGTCCGCAGCTGCATGCCCGCAACGCACAGCCCCCCAGCCCGTGCTGGAAGCATCTGTTGAAACAACAACATGGCTGGACACCTGTCCTAGAGGCACTCCGGCCTGTAGGAACGAGGGGTCGTTCCAAGGGCTGAGGGCGCGGCGACAGAGATCCTACAGAAGCCTGAGAAAAGAGATCCTCTGCAAGGGGGCGAGTTTGCTCTTTTCTCGGTTGACCTGAAACCCCAACAGGTGGAGGTGCCGGAGCACCTTGTCTCTGTGCATAATCAATTGCTCCGAGAGTGTGCTAAAATCAGCCAGTGGTCGAGATAATTGAGTATGCGGATGCCTGCATAGGAGATCACCCATTCAAACTGTAGTTTGACATGAATACACACCCGTGAACTTGGGGGGCCGTTTCGTGAACTGAATCGCATAGCCGAGTCTGATTGTGCGTATGAGCCACCGCGAAGGGGTGGCCCACGCTAACCAGGCAGGCAGAGCCCTCGCTAATGAAGTCATCGCTACAATCGCTGACATACCAATAGTGGGGCAGCGTGGAGTGGGTGTGCTGATCCGGGAAGCGTGAGGGTCCCGCGGAAGAGCTGGAGGCGAGAGATTGTCTCTCACTCCGCACCCAAACTCTGGAGGGGAGGCTTGAGGGGTGGGAGAAAGGAGACTGTCCTCCCAGCGCTCGTGAGCCACTGGCGAAACGCATCGAACCTGCGCGCTAGAAAGCAAAGCATTTCAGACTGGCAGATCTCGCTTTGCCAGAGGTGTTTGCGGGGGCGGTGCAGCTCTCGTAGGCGGGCGCCTTCGGCGAGGAGCAGGAGACATGGATGGTACAGCGGGCGGAGCAGGCTTACGTCCCGCCGATAGGTGACATTACCCATCGCCTCAGACTGCTCTCTCACCGCCTTGAATTCCTGGGTGAATTCACAGACTGTTTCGCCGAACAGGCCAGCTTGGGATATGGGGTAGTCAAGAAAGCGGACTTTGTCGACTTCGCGCATATCAGCCAAGTTTAGCCAGAGGTGGCGCTTCTGGACCACTAATGTGGACATCGTCCTCCCCATCGCACACGCAGCAGACTTAGTGGTCCGAAGAGCATAGTCGGATGCGGTGTGAAGTTCACAAGCCTGGGTTGGACCCACCCTCGCGCAGCTCGGCCAGCGCCTGCGCTTGGTAGCGCTGGAAGGTGGCCATCGCGTGCAAGGCAAAAGCAGCCTGGCCCGCAGCCATGTAAGATCTAGCTCCGAGGGAGGCAGATAACTTAAAGGCTTTGGACGGAAGACGAGGCGGACCCCACCAAGAAGAGGCGCCACGCGGACAAAGATTGACCACAATAGCGTGCTAAACCTGAGGAATCGTCACATACCCCCTGGCCGCTCCACCATCAAGAGTGCTGAGGGCAGAGGGAAACGCAGCACAGGCAGAAAAAAAAGTGCCCTCCAAGACTGCATGAGCCCACTGTGCACCTCCGGGAAGAAGGGGATGAGAGGCTTCAAAGGCTTCACCCTCTGGTCCTCTACGTAGCACCCATCTAGTCGGTCCGGCCGCGGAGCTGGGGGATAAACCATCTCCAACCCATGGCTGAAGCAGCCAAGGAAAGCACGGCTAACATGTCCGTTTCAGGATCCGTTTGACAGCGCTCACCTGCCCGGAGGGGGCGAGCGGGTCTGGATCATCATCGGACAATGAAAGCCCACCCTCCGATGCAGCGGCGGACGTCTGATCTCCAGTGTCATCGAGCGTAAGGGCTACCATCTGGTTAGACGGATCACTTCCCCCGCCCGAAGCTTGGATGAAGCGCTTAGAGGAGCGGGAGGTCCGCAAGCCCGTGGGCGGCGGATTATCTCCTGCTGAAACCCTCAGATCTGCCAGAGTGCCCGCTGCAGAGCAGGGGACAGCTGGGTTGGTTCGCCCCTTTGCAAGGGCTAGCCACGATCTTAATTGCGCATTAGTCATGGCATCGCAATGACGACATGGACTGCCCGCGAGCATCGCATTAACATGTTGGACCCCCAAACATACATACAACGCAGTGATCAAGCCCATCCTCCAGAGACAGGAAACCACCGCATCCAGAAATGCACAGTCGGAGCGCCATCCTGAAAAGGATGTGCTGCACGACTGTGTTGTTCTTTTAGAAAATAAGCAACTTACACGCACCGCTCTGGAGGACCGGACCCAAAGAACGCCAAGCAAGGGAGAATCCCAGCTCGACCGTCTGCCGCAGCGTGTACCCACTCTGGACCAGGAGAATTCTCGTTCGCTCGAATTGCTGTAGAAAGCAGGAGGAACCCTCATCGACTCAATCAGAAGGCTGTGAAGTCTCTGAAGCGAAATTGATAGCGTGTGCTTGCTCCACCTGTGCTTTTATGCGGAGATAATTGGCAATAAGTTCCAGGTGCGCAAGCTTACGCTCCCAATATATTGGCATTTCATTGGCCCGTTACATACTCTTCCAGACAATTGTTTTTCTGAAACGAAATCCCCATTCATAGATTTATAGTCCAAATCCACTAATAGCATTGACGTTCCCCATCCGAAGGGGAACAAAGGAGATCACTCATTCAAACTGTAGTTTGACATGAAAATAGAGACAGTTATCAGGAACAACAATATGCTTTCTTTACTGCAGCTATACATAACCTGGATAGGGAAATTGTGTGTTCACCAGGAGCACAGGAAGGTCCTTATATAATCATGGCAGTTATCTAAACAAACCTTCTCAAGCTCTTTTGAAGCTGAGCCCCTTTTACGGTGTTGTATGATCCTTGGTGATTGTTGTTAGTTTTTATTAAATGAGGAGAAATTTCTCATTCTTTACCTAAATGATGTGGGTCCTAATTTATGTTATTTTAAAATAAAATAAATCCCTTAAAATACAATTTGCAATGGTGCTTATTGATTTTTGGTGGTGCTCCTACATTTTTTCTGTTGCTCCCAAATTCTTTTTGGTGCTCCTAAATATTTGAAGTTGGAAGCACCGGTGCTACCAAGTAAAAAAGTTAACTCTGAGCCCTGCTATACAACACTCACAAGTTCAGTGGACTTAAGCATTGTCAAGATGATCTCCATAAGGAGATCCTATATTAGTAGGCCTCCGTCGGTCAGTGTTAACCATGGATGACGTATCCTAGCTCTTATCTTGAGGCATGACTGATTGACTGAGACAGCGTCGTTGGTGGCTGAAGAGACCAATACGGTCTATTTGAGACGCACGCCGTATAGGGGTACTTTATAGATAGTGGGAGCTTATCCCCATTACCGCCCCCGGCTATGACAACCTTGGAATCCTGTTAGAATGCTTAGATTGAAAAAGCTTTTAATCTCAGTAAATATGCTGCAAATTCAGCTAATGACCATTTCAGTTCTTAACAACCTATAAAACATTTCCATTCTCTGCTGTGCATCATGTAGAGAAGTGCAGTTTGAGTTTTACTTCTGAAGTGAACACTGAACATCATTGTGAGATCTGCTCAATAAAATCTGACATTTGATGACTGATGACATTTACACTGACTCATTTACATCCAATAATAAAGGAAATCAGAGAAAGGAATAATTTGCATAATATTCTAAAGCACAGTACAATAATCAGTACTGCACATGTGTTTCTCTTATCTCATCATACTTTGTGGCATTACACAATATTTACAACTAAGTATGGTAACATTTATATTGTGAAAATATGTGGTGGAATTGATTGTACCTCAGTATCTCCAGTTTACAGTCTGGACTCTTCAGTCCATCAGAGAGAAGCTCCACTCCTGAATCCTGCAGGTCATTGTTACTCAGGTCCAGCTCTCTCAGGACACCGTTTGAGGATTGTAGAGCTGAAGACAAACTCTCACAGGACTGAGTGGTGAGTTTACAGGACAGTAGTCTGTGTAGAGGACAGAACAAACAACTGTATTAATGTGTTAATCTGGCAGAGTTCTTCTCACACTGTTGAATGTTTATGTGTCCAGTCTGCAGTGTTAAGGTGACACTAAAACTGGTGTAGTTTATGAGATCATTACTGCTGAAGACCTGCAGTTAACATATGTAACCCTTATTTCTAACTGTTTACAGATCAGTCTCTCCAACGTGGGTATCATAAATAAACACGGGTTACCAGGATGATAATTTGTTTCTTTTCTTTAATCTGGAGCATCAACATAACACTCACAAACAGCATTACAACATCATTGCATCTGCCAAACTTTTGTCCACTTCCTTTTTTTTCTCCCTCTCCTGCTTTCTGGTCTGCCTCCCTTGAAGGAGCCAGAGCACAACAATAACTGTGTCACACCAGAGAACATGGTGCTCACTGACCACGTTTGCTTCCTGTTCCTAGAAATAAAGTTCCTGTTTTTAGGAATATATTATTGAAGAAAATGATTGCCATTTACTAAAACAGCTACTGTAAAATTAGTCCTGAGATGTTTATGAATGATTTTACAATTTTCTTTTTAAGCCATAAGAGCTGTCATTTATCGAACTCTGATTGAGACGGTTGCACCATTGGACAGTTTTGTTGATTAAGCTCTGAAATATAAAAAAATTGTAATACCAGCAGTTTAAATGGCAAATGGTATATCAAGACAAATAAATGTTGAACAATTTATTGCCCTTTAAATGACGACAATATTAATTATATAAACTTGTCATTGAAAATGCAACATCATGTCAACAACCTCTACGCATGTTTAAATAATATTGAAATGAACTATCCTTCACTTGATAAAATATATAAATAGCTTTGATTAAACTAACATATACAACATAGCTCAAAACAACTGATTTAAGTAAATAAAGCGTCAATAAATGAATATAGTCATAAAATAATAACTATATTAATGTAACTTAGTAAGCCTGATATATTTATCGTTTTTATTATTAATTTGACAAATTATAAATTGGGTTCACTCCCTTACAGATATAGTGCATAAACTGCTGCAAGCTATATAGACACTAGTGAAGAAGTGAGAGATTTCAAACACAGCATTAATGTTTAGTAAAAGAAACATAAATATATATAAACATCAGGGCTCGACAATAAGGACTGCCTGATGGCCCAGGGCCAGCGTGAGAGATGCTCGAGACAGTTGACAGGATCATTACTGACTTGATTGGGCCAGTGCTGCCTTATCACTAAAGTTTAATTTGGCTCTGACTGACAAATTGTGCCGTGTGACCAGTTTTACTGCAAGATGTTCACCGTATGCACAGATTTAGGAGACATTCATGCAGAATACCTCTTTACGCCCAAAAAAAAAAACACCAAACGC